AACACACACACACACACAGACAGAAGAGTAACTCACAGACTAGTTTGTGCATACCTTTGAGTATACAACATTACAGTCATCCAACTTTAGTTTAACAGATGTTAAATTCAAATAAGTAGAATAATAATTTAACAACTCCTAAACAATTTTTGTTCAACTTTTCAACATAAAACGCTGGCTTCTCTGCGTAGTACTACAAATTAAGTTTTATTGATTCTTAATAACATTACTACTGTTCGCAACAGCTATTGAATACAATTGCCAATAGGTTCGACAATTACTTATAGAATATATTAGGTATATTAATCAATTAATTAAATAATTATTAATCAATTAATTAAATAAATAAATGGGTGTTTAATTATCTCTGCATCTTGTAGGCGTGCAATTAGTTTTTAATGATCATTCGACATTTGCTCAACTTTAACGATTATTTTATTTCATCCGAGCACATTACCGGCTTTAATTTGAGGAATTTGATTACGTTTGAACTCATGTGGTCAATTCGAGTGCGTCCGTGTCTGCGTGCGTATGTGTGGTCGTATGTATCTATGTTAAAATCTATGTTAAAACCTATCTATGTTATGTATGTATCTATGTATGTACGTACGTGTGTGTACGCGCCTTTGTATGTATGGTTCTACGTATACAAACGTGTATGTTGCTTCATGTCTGTACGTTTAGAACATATATGTACAATGTGCATTTGTGGTGTATGGCTTAGTGGTATATCAACGCAATTAACATTTTATTGAATAGTTTTTATTTACACGCACACAGACACACACACTTGCACGCACATACACAGCTGCAGTTCACAGATGCCTATAAACATACAGACGAGGTTGAAAATTGATTGGGGCCACCATTGACGAAGAAATAAAAGCAATTCTTGTAGAAAAAGTACTGCGGTGGAATAAAGCATTGCTAATTTATTGGCCGGGCCACAATTTTATGCTGCCACTATGTGGATACTGTTCATACGTATGTATGCTTATATGTATGTATATGTATGTATACATTTATGCACGCATGTGTACGTGTATATTTGTATGTACGAGTATACGCATGCATCTTTTGTTAGGCATGCGTATGAGTGTTGTTTACATTTCAGACATGTTTTTTATAACAACATTCGCATATATACTACACACACACACACACACACACACACACACACACACACACACACACACACACACACACACATATATACATGTATACAGCGATGCATACTTTATAGCACACATAAACAAACATGCGTGTTCCTTCATAGGCGTGTTTCTCTTTTTTTCTTTGCACTTTTTTGTTCCTTCCTTCGTTCAAATTCTTTTCCCCACCGCCGTCTGATTCTATCATTTTTTATTCCATTTATTGTGCCACACTCTTTCTTAAATTGTGTGTGAGTTTTTTTTCCAAGTTTGATATTTTCCCGATTCATAACATTATTCATTTGGAACGCAGCAAACACTTACATGCTACATTTTCACTATTATATTTTACATCTTCATTTCATTTATTTTTTTTCTTTTTTTCTTTCTTTTTTGTTCAGTTTTTTTTCTCACAAAAATCTTATTTTGCCGAGTTTCATAGGCTTGTGTTCTTTGCAGCGGCAACAAAATGCCTGGACGTTTAATTAAAACGCTGCTACGCGTATAATACATGTTTGTCTTAATCGGCACATGCATAGATCCAAAACTTTTTGGAAAATTTTTTCAAAAACAATACTAGAAAAATTCAACCCTATTCATCCAAAACCAAAAGAACTCTTTTAAAACTCTAAAAATTTTGTGAAACTATTAAAAGACACTGCTTGACTTTATATTATTTTTTTATCCATTTAGTTACCTTGATTCATTTTCAATTTATAAAATATTTTAATAAATTAATATTAATTTTTTAAAATTTTGATCATATTAAAAATTGGAATCAGCTGAATCATAGTAGGAGTAAGAACGATTTATATCATCTGATCATCTTCATCTTCATCAACTTGGCCGGCTCTTTATTTTAATGATTTCTCATCATCGTCATCATCATCATGACCATCAGGCCTATTACTACGAAGCACTGTATTGATACAGTTTCATTTCCAAGTTTCCAAATCAAGTGGAACAAATTTTAAATGCATACAAAACTCTGATGATGGTGATGACGACGACGACGATGATGACGATGTTGGTGATGATAATGGTGAAGGAAATTTTTCTGATGATGGAAAGGAAAAAATCCAAAAATATGAAAACGACGATAATGATGATGACATTAATGATGCTGATGATGAAAATCATGATGACGATGTTGATGACAGCAATAATGATGCCATAGTGAGTGCGTGCCACAGAGTATTACTACGGCTGGATTTCGGTGTTGATGTTTAAAGAAAATATCTCTCTAACTATTTAATAAAATTATTTAGTAAATAACTATTTACGTTGCAAGTAAGATTTCTCGTTGTGAAAGAACATGTAATATTAATTTTCTAAAAGTGGCACTGCTGTATTTAAAATTTTCAAAAATTGTTGTATGTATAATAACAACACCATAATTCTCTGTTGATTACATCAGGACCATTGTGCATGCATATACTATTGGTATTGATATATGTGTGGGTGTTGGTATACATCTAAACGTTTTGACTTCTCTAAAAATAAATAGATGAACAAATGAATGAGTGAATGAATGAATGGATAAATAAATAAAAAGATGAATGAGTGAATGAATGAATAAATAAATAAAAATAAATAAATTTATAAAAAATATATATATACGTTGATATATGCTTATGTTCATATGTTTGTGGGCGTTCGCACTCACTCCTATTTTGACCTAAGAAGTAACCTGCTATCATTCTTTTTTTCCGAACTATTTTTTTCATTCATTTATTTTTTCTATCTTTCTATCTGTCTACCTATTAATCTATCCATCTTTCATTCATTTTTTATTCCTCTTTTCTTTCAATAATTTTTTATTCGATTTTTATTCTCGTTATCTTGCTTCAATGAATGTAATGCTCTTAAGTGAGCTGATCAAATAAAGTTTAGTAGCAGAAAGACTCACCACGTACGCACACACACAAACACACACATACGCACACGCACGCAAGCACGTTCAAAACACACATCACACACATACATATCGAGACTTGTATAATTTGCCAGGCAAACACTACCTGTATTTACATAGGACTCATTCATTTCTACGCATTTGTGAATTTAAATCTTTAAGAAGGAGCCGATTGGCAGCGATTTCACGCTCCAGTAAATCCTTTCCACATTTCAATGCTTTCGACGCTGGAAAGTTGGAATAAACAAAATAAAGTACTTTCAATGGGTGTTTGTTGTTGTTATTGTGGCTGGTTTCGTGTCTGTCTGGGTGTGTGAGTGTGCGTGTCTGTGTGGTTGTTTGTGTGTTCTTTGTTGTGTTGTTGTTATGTTTCTGCCTTTTTTGTTTTGTTTGATATTTTTACTTGCAATGTACTGTATACACAGACGTGTATCGGTACGGCTCTGTTGATGTTGATGTATTTTGTTGTTGCGCATTTTGCTGGCGATGTAGATGATGTTCTTTATGTCTAATGGTCTTGTCTCATATGTCTGTGTTTTTTTTAAATAGTTGTTCCTTCTGCCATTTATGATAAGAATGATGTTACCCATAACTTGCGATTACGACTCGTATTGACATGAATGCTATTCGTATTCATGTTTGTTGATCTCCTAGTATCATTATAAATGTCGTGGCTGTGCAACTTAAATGGCAATTTTCACGTTTTATAGATGACGTGTTGGTTGTTGGAAATGCTTTTATCTCTGAAAATATTACTTCTCTACATACGTAAATAAATTTAGGAGTCTGTTATATAATGAAAATTTTGCAAATGTTAATATTGTATGCTTTTTGTAATAATTTTTATTTTATGTAGTTAGCATGTAACGGTGGCTATTAATAATATCACATCTTAATATATACGTACATACATACATCTACATCCGGCGCAGATAAAGGCCGTCGGCTACTGAAGCTGATTTTGACGCTATTTTCGCCTGGATCTTTTCAGAGCAGCATTCCGGTCTCGCTGCAAGCTGTTGAGATTTTTCTCATGTCTTGCACAACCCAACTGTATAAAAAATGCGAAGCACACAGTCATGGTAGACACATAGTCTAGTTTTCACAAGAGTTGTTCCATACTCGCTGATTTAGCTTGGCCATTCTGGCGATCCTGCTGTTGACTTCACTATCTAAGGACAAGCGGAAATGGTCGACCCGGGGTAGGTAAAGTTCTCAACAACCTTCAGTGTATGTTCACCAATAGTAATTTTAGGAGGGGTCGGCACGCCCTGAGCCATTGCACTGGTCTTTCTCAATTTTATAGTTAATCCAAATTCTCTATACTTCTGGAAAAACTGGTGATAAGACACTGAAGCCCGTCTTCAGTATGCGATACTAAGGCAGCCAACTTTATGCAACAAATTAAATAATCCGCTTCGACTGTCCAAATCAACTTCCAACTTTAGTAAAAGACAGAAAATAAACATTGCACGTGTAAACCAATACAACTGTAACGCATGCTAATTTGGGGATTTCTTCACATTTGAATCAAATCTCCGCGACACAAAATGTTGTAAGAGGATGTTTTACCCATTCAGCCAAATTTATTACTTGCAAGTAACTAGATTTTTTCACAATTGATATTGTTTACCTGTATCATTTAATTCCTCGAACATAATCTGTAATGTTTTATGCCATTAAAACTTATACTAAACACAATTGAATCACTATTTTTTATTTTCCAGTTTATCCAACCAATTTTTTAAGAACATGTCTTATTTCAGAAAAATCATCTTCAATAATCAATTTTGCAATATTATCACTGTTTCAGATGATTTTATTGACGTATATATGTAAAAAAGTTTTAAAATAAATTGTAGGAATGTAACTGAAAAATAGTGAAAAAAATTATGAGCTGTTTAATTTTTCAAGTAAAAAAATAAAATTTTTTTTTAAACAGTTGCTATCTTTAAACCGACAAATCCGCCAAGTGTTGTGTTGTTATTGTTGTTATCATCATTGTTATCACCGTTATTAATATCATTGTTGTTGTTGTTGTGGTTGTTGCTTTGTGGCTTATTAATGTCGGAGTTTTCTATATTGGCAGTAGTTGTTACAGGGTTCGTAGTTGTTGTCGTTGTCGAAGTTGAATAGATCTTGTTGCTGGTTGATATGTTGATGAGATGAATGTTGCTGTTGTTGCTGTTGCTGTTAATGTTGTTGTTAATGGATGGAATCATAAAACTGCTGCCAGATGATGTTAATGTTTTTGTTGCTGTTGTTGAATTCGTGGAGTAAGCTGTCTGATTTGTGTAATGCTGTTGCGAGAATGAAATTGGCAACATGAGCTGGTTGAAGGTAGATTGACTTTGGAATTGTTGTTGTTGTTGGTGGAGTGCGTGTTGTTGTTGTTGAATGTGCTGAAATTGTTGTTTTTGTGACTGTGGATATGGTTGTTGCTGGCCCGAGTGTGGTTGTATGTCGCTTATGAATGAATTGTTTGTAAATGTAGTTTGCTGTTGTTGCAGTTTGGGTATCGTAGATGTTGCATGTTGAGACTGTTGAGACAACAAAGTGAAATGTTGCATTAAATGAGGATTTTGTTGTTGCAAGTTTTTCTGTCGCGGAAGGGTAACATCGGACATGCGAACGTGCTTGTTCAAATGATTGGCAGTTGGCAGACGATGTTTTGGCGAGTTTGTTTTTTGTTGCAAGATAATTCGTTGTTGTTGTTGGTAGCTACTGTTGCTACTGCTGTTGTTGTTGTTGCTGCTGCTGTTGTTGAATCGATGTGTCAACGTGTTAGAACTGATTGAAGATAACACGTTGTATACAAACTCGTCTTCAAAAACTCCGCCTACAGAATTGTGTTTGCTTTGTTGATTTTGTTGATATGTCATCTGTTGTTGTTGTTGTTGTTGTTGTTGAAGAGTGGTTGTATCACAAAACAAAGATTGTTGCTTATATTGTTGTTGTCTATGTTCTTGTTCAATTTGGGGTTGTTGAACAATGTCATGTTTCGGAGTTGTTGCTGCAACATCGCGACGAACAACCAGCAACAGGGGAGCCGACCCGGCACTGCTGTCTGTAGGAACTTCCCTCTTCTGCAACAAGTGCGCCTTTGAAGCTCTTTTTCTTCTCCTCGCAGTTTTCAAAACTAAGCACGAGCATCTTATGCAATGAATGACAACTAAATAGAAGAACGTTGACGTCAGCAACAAAGTACATGTCACTTCCGCTTGCCGACTGAGTTGACTCGTTAAGTCAACCGAATGCTTTAAAGCGATTAAAACTCGACTCAACTCGTGTTCTGTTATGAGTTGAATATCGGTTATTTTTGTTTCGTTTTTCCTAGAGAAACCGCATGGATAGTTTGAGATGTCCTGCTGAGCGTGAACAGATGGATCGTTAGCAGCAGCAGCAGCAGCAGTTGTCGTCGTCTGCCGTTTGTTGGAATCGTGCGAAGATGTTTGTGACGATTTCAACTTTTCAATTTTTTTACTGGAGTACATTTTGTTGACGTTATTATTGTCGACATCGAAAGCACTGCTTATTTCATCGCTCTTATAATTTAAATTTCTTTTACTGAACGTGCCACCACTACTACTACCGCTAGTACTACTAATGATGCTACTGCTGCTACTTACACTAGCGACATCTTCATTGTCGCTGCTGGTGGTGCCTGTCGCCTTCCCCCCAGCGGTCACCACGTAATCCATCTCCGACACGAGTTCACTTCGGCAGATGAAGAGGGTAGGGAAGAAAAGTTTGTGTTCTGCCATCCTCCATTCTCTGCTCAATCCGGGTCCGTACCAGCGCCAGGATCGAGGTGGAGTGTCAGATGTACCGGAAGGTTGAAAGAGTACCTCTTCCTCATTCAAATTTCTTGGCAGATCATCTCGAGGATCGGTGAGTGAGGGATAGGACTGTCGGTACATTCGGAAGAAGGCTTCTCCTGCAAACGAAAAATTTGCGTAGTAGAGAGTTTCTCTCCTGGTGAGACAGACAAGGGAGTGGTAGGCCCTGCAGAGAGACTGTTCAGCCCCAATATAGTTGAGGCTGGAGAGCAGGTAGGAGTGGGATTGCAGGAGGTAACGCACGCTGCTCCAGCGTTCTGTGGTGGGAGGAAAAATTGTTTAACTGGTAAGAGTGTTTGACATTTTGTCAGTGTAAATGTGCGTGCTTGTAATAAAATATGCATTCCTGTGCAAATAAGCTTGCTTGAGCATATGTGTCAGTGGATATGTAAATGAGAGAGTGTTCAAGCGTTTGTTTTTTTTTTGCAAGTGTTGATGTTTGTATGTTGTTTGATTATGTGTGTGTGAGCGTGTGTGTGGGTTTGCAAAATTTAATGCGTGAATAGCGTTTTTATTTTTCTAAATAATAGTTTTTTATATTTTTGTCGTAATAATAAAAAAATTTATTTGATCAATTGTAGAGAATAATGGGAAGAGCAACAAAAGAGCTGTATATAAAAAGTTTCACAAACGTTGAAAATATTCCGCTGGCAATGGCTTTTATAAATCTATTTTATGCAACGTTGAGTGTCTGCAAGCAACACAATAAAAAAAAATGACTATGAGAACGAACTTTCTGGTGATGGTGCTATAGATGGTGATAACGATGATGATGAGGATGATAAAAATGCTGATGATGCTGTTGACAATGAGATGGTGTGACAATGATAATAATTGTAACTTTGATGACGACGTTGTTCATTTTGACTAGAATGGTAAGAATGTTAGTGAGTAGGCCAAAGACGATTTACTATGGCAACAGACACTCATTGTCAGTTGCTGCATAAAATATTTATTTTATTTAAGGCGCGTGCGTTCAGGTTATGTCTTCAAAAATTTGTATAGCGTATGTGTGATAGTATATGAGCACTTATGCAGTATTTGAATGTGGGATGAGAATGTAAAAATCTGTTTTACAATGGAGAATAATTGCAATTCAGATTGCATTTACATTTCTTTTGCACAAAATGCGTGGGTTACATTTTTTAGCATGAAAAATTTTCTTCAAAGATTATCAAAACTAAACCAATTTTTTATCTGGATGATTTAAACAATTGATCAAAATTTTGCATTAATAAAATTGTGAAAATGTTTTAACGTCAAGTGTTTGAAATTTTTGTTATAAATCATTAAATCATAATAATAACAACATGTTGCTAATTGCGTGCATAAATCGTAAGCAGAAATTTCAAAAGATTGATCACCAGGAATATCACGAAAAAATTTTGACAACAACCAGATCAGCAAGAGTACTGCAAGTACTTTGAAACATAAAGAGCAATAACGAGAAACCTCGTGTTAGAGAACTGTCGTGACCCTGGGGTGCCCCAAACATGAGAGGGATGAAGGAGATGACCGAGCCTGTTATGCTATCCAACGGTAATGGCGACTCGCCTCGATTAACCCACGTCAAAATGACGTCGATGAGGTCAGTGTAGAAATGAATCTCGTCACAAAAGTACGTCCAGCTTTGTATTTTAGAACGGTGGCCGTTTAAGTAGGCCATAAAAATGTGCCTAGAGCGGAAAATAGATTGGGATGTTAGCGGAATTGAAGAAGAAGATGATGATGAAGAAGATGAGTTGCTGGTTGATTTCATTTTATCCTGGATGTCTTGTTGCTTCTCGAAAGTAGTGCCAGGCCACGATGAGAAGGACTGCAGGATGGAGTCCGTGCTGCTTCTTGCCATCTCAAGCTCGTACCTGCCCTCCTGCTTCGACTCATCGGTCCTCGCCGTCAGGTAGGCCACTGTGGCTTCTGTGGTGCGACATTTAAAAAAAATTAAACCACTCAGTGTAAATTATTTACAGATACAATAGTGATAAACATTGGTAAGAATAATTTAATTTAAAGTTATTCCGACACAGATATTCAGTAACGTGTGATTAAAATAGCAAATAGACATATTTACTTAAAAATATTTATAATATTGTTTACAAATGAAACTAACGCATATACACGAAGAATATTCACATGGAACCTCATGACTTCAAAAACCATGCATGCATATACATCATGAGATAATAAAGTAAAGTAGTATCATTTGCCTGCCTGAACATTCATTCGACAGTTGGGAATATACAGTAGAGACACAAACTCAACACTATATATACCTTCTTTATATATTCTATATATTCTTTCTATACACACACAGACACACAAACAGACATACACACACACACACAAACACCACACACACACACACACACACATATATATATATATATATATATATAACACAAGGATACTTAGACAGAGTATAGACCAGACACAGACAGAGACATGATGTATCGTCAGCATAATGTATACGTTCTGCGACCCCTTCGTTGCTAGGCGACGAAAAACTTGACGGGAGAAGGATCGGATGATGGATGGAGTGACACGAGAATGATACAAAAAATAGATGAATAAAAAAAAAGTAAAATAAATGTAAATGTGAAGCGGCCAGCTGGAAAGGAGGAAAAAAAGAACAAAAGATGCTCGCAAACAGAAATAATTTTTCCTGCCAACAAAATATTCAAAACAAACGGAAAAAAAAATTTCGGAAAAAAACAAACCAGAAAAAAAACTATTTGAAAAAATCTGAAAAAAAACCATCAGAAAAATTCTGAAACTGCAAACAAACAAACAAACAAACAAACAAACAAACAAACAAACAAACAAACAAACAAACAAACAAACAAACAAACAAACAAACAAACAAACAAACAAACAAACAAACAAACAAACAAACAAACAAACAAACAAACAAACAAACAAACAAACAAACAAACAAACAAATAAACATGCGTATCTTTCCACGGGAGTGTTAAATACAAAATTTGATATAAAATAATAAATCTTATTTTATACGTCTTTGTAACAACTCACATATAAATCTAAGAGTTTAAAATCGCATACAGAATAAAATAGTCAGATACAATTTTTTAGTGCATGAATTTTTCTATGCGATCAAAAATAAAAAAAACGTCATATATAGAACGAATGATGTCCAATCAAATCAGTGTTAAATTTAAAAATTTTCCATCAAACATCAAAACTAACGAACGAACAAACGAACGAACAAACAAACAAACGAAAAACAAACAAGCAAACGCATTGAGAAACCAACCAAAAAAAACACAAAAAATGAATATATACAAAAAGCAATTTACAATATTATCAAAAATTTTTTTTAATCAGAAAATTAAAAGCAAAAATAAAACAAACAGACAAGCCTTCTGAAGTCTGACAAGCCAATTATCAATATTTAAAATGAAATAAAAAACAATATAGCAAACCAAAAAAAACTCATCTTAAAACATGGGAAAAATTTAGTATAAAAAAAGAATAATAACAAAAACAAAAAAAGACGTAATATCAAATTCATCCGCTTGTTCATGTGGACAGTTTGATATTATCACGGGAAGATGAATGAGAGCTTACTCGAATCTGATTGGCTGAAGGTAGATGACGTCATTTTTGCGTTCGTCTATTAATAGTTCTGGCAATTGTTCTGTTGGGTTAGATACCATCAGTTATATAATTCAATTTTACTATATACTCCGCCGTGTTAAATAATAAAACTAGGCAAATAATTTTTTTTCGTGAAACTTCTGTTAAGTTTATTTATATTTTTCAATTACAATATTTTTGTTTTTGATTTTAAATTGTAGGTATTTAAATTTTATTTTATTTAAATATTTTTTCATCTAAAAAATTTTTTTTATTTAAATTGCCATAATGATGCCTAAATTTCTAGAAAAATTCTTTTTTGTTTCATTTTGATGACAATTTTATATTCTATAAGGACTTACTTTTATTCGCCACTCATTATTAGTAGGAAAATTATAAACACGAAAGTGGGAAATAAAAAACACACACGTGTTTTTATGTAATTATAGCAACAGAACAGTGAAAAACAGTTACGCGAATCGTGTATACTTACGCCTAGAAAATTAATACAAACGCAAGGAGCATGCTTGTGTGAATTGCCTTGCGTACATCTACGCATTCATTATTGCAAGTTATCAATTGAATTTGATGTTTCTTTATGGTTGTGTTCCTCAATCCTTCATAATTTTTCTCCCCGTACTCCGCCCGGGTTTCTCAGCACGTTTGCCCCTAAATATCATTGTATGTTTGTACAGTCTTATTTATTGCTCACATTATTAAAGATGGCGTGAAGAGGAAGATGAAGACGACTACGATGATGATGATGATGACGAGGAAAATGATCATTATTTTAGTTAAGCTAATAATTCTTTAATGATAATATTGGTGATGATATCTTATATGAAGAAGATAGTCGATGAAAGGAGGGTGACTTGGAATGAGTGATCTCTGCAGTGAGGAGGTTCATGTTTTTTTTAGATTTTTTTATTATTTTTTATAAACATTTTTCGAAAAACATTTAAATAATCTGCTATAAAGAACATTACTGAACAAGGAACATGCCGCTAACAACTTCCAACATTTATTTTCATACCATATCATTTTCATGCCTCGGCCACAACTTGAACCAACAATAAAAACTTCCCAAGCAGCTGTTATATAATAAAATTATTCCCATAAATTCATTTTATCACGCTTCTATGTTTTATAATTTTTTATATAACGCTTTATAAAATGACAGTGATCAATTTTTATTTACATTTATTTTACATAATAAAAAAAAAGAATGTTTTTAAACAACCACAAAAACGCACATGTGCATCGAAATAAATGCAAACACATAAACAGGCTATATAAACATATTTAAGTAGGTGCATGCATGCATACAAACACATGCTTACATGAACACACACGCACACAAAATAAACACACGCACGCAAACACACACACGCACGCACATACAGCCAATGAATGAATGCACACGTGTTCAGCGTTGCGTGTTCAAGGCAAAGTCCCTAGCTAGCCATAGAAGTCCTCACACGCCGCAGCATATCGCGTACGAACATCACACGCTTCTGTTATTGCGTTGATTAAACGCGAAAACACAAATTTCTATAGTTTCACTTTTCTTTCATCATCAGCTCATTCTAAACGTATAAAATGAAGTTGATTCGTTTTTAAAATGTTAGTGTTGGTCGTTATTCGCTTTCATATTATTGTCATTGTTGTTAACAGATTTTTATGAATGTTTTAATTTGTTCTTTTTGTCATTCTAGAAACTAGCATTGCGAATTTTTTCTTGTCTTTTTCCTTCACCTTATAACTCAACTACATCACTACATTCATTAGAGATATTTCAATCGCTATCACAAAACCGCCTTGTTTCGGTAACAACAAAAGAGAACTTGCAATGAATATATCGTGTGCTGGATAGTGCATTCATCATTAGTAGACACTTCAAAATTTTAATTCGTTACATCAAAATAAACAATTAGAAGCAATTATAAAAATTTATTCACTCGTTTTAAAAGTTGTTATTAAAAAAAATCATTACAATAGTCTGTAGGAATGTCTAAGAAAGGAATTTAATGCTAAAATGTACTAAAAATTATACTTTAAAATTTTCAAAAGCTGCATTTTTTTTTAATTTTTCAGGCATTTTTTAATCAAAAACAAAACATTTCTACTCATTTAATTTATTTTTTATGATTTAAAAATTTTTAAGGCTTGCCTACATGTTCCAAGCAAAAAGAACGCCTAGATGATTTATGATGTTCAACGGTCCCAGCCCTAACAAAAGCAAGTGCCACAAAGCGTTTCAAAATGTTTCTACCGCTACAAAACTTTGTAAAAAACTACAAAGATTTTGCTATTCGTTATTTTTACGTGAATCAAATAAAAAAGTGAAATAAATTAATTAGTTTAAACGGTATCAAACGCTTATGTGTTGTTTGCTGTACACTGTGACTGTTTCAATCAAAAAAACAATTTAGATTTCTTTCGCTATTTATAAAGGAGATGAATTTCTACAAAAATTAAAATATAAAACTTTTGTGCTGATAAGTTTATTAAAATTCCACAGAAATATAAATTTTCAACATAATTATTTTTTATTATTGATCTAATAGTAAAAATTTGGTAATAGCATCTCCATGACAGAACTCAATGATCGGTGAACCAGGATTTCACTTCTTTTGATTCATTCTTTACGATTGTACGCTTGCCATTTTTTGTCTTTTCCATTCCATGTTTATGATTCTATGTTTGCCTGGGATTCTTTGCTTACGATTCTTTGTTTACTATTCTTTGCACATCTAAACGTCATAACTCTTGTCTGATCAAGTCGATGAAGCGTTTGTTTATCGCTACCAGTTACTGGGGGAGGATAATATAAGATGGGATAATGAACAATAGGATATAGTAAAATGGGATACCAGGTATGACCGGATGGGATGGGATAATATAAGATGGAATAAGGTGAGATAATAGGAGATGAATTAATTGTTTTGTATGCAACATTTGTTGTATTAAAAAGTGTTATAACAGTTACTAGAGAGAGAGAGAGAGAGAGAGAGAGAGAGAGAGAGAGAGAGAGAGAGAGAGAGAGAGAGGTAATATTTTGATTATTGTGAGGAGAATATGTTCAATATTAACTATCCCGTAACGGCACTTTTAACGAAACGCTCAGTATTGGTTGATGCCTACCTATCAACAACTAATTTGACGGACTCCGCTCGTAAAATGAGCATGAAACTTGTATCCACTAACAATGTTTGTATGAAAATTTTATGTATGCATGTACGTTTGTATGTATTTGTGTATGTATGTATGTATTTGTGTATGTATGTATGTATGCACGTGTGTGTCTGTATGTGTGTATGTATATATTATGTGTATTTATCTGTTGTATGCGATTGCTATGTTTTTCGGTATGTCCTTTGTATGTTTTGCATAATTGCTTGCGTTTTTGTCTACGTTAAAACCAAATAAGCAAATAATTTGTTTATTTTCTTTTATTAATATTGACGATTATGTTTTTGTTTTTGTTTAAATATAGATTGAATGAGCTGTATTTTCATTACTTAGCTAATTTTGTGACCGAGTTATAAGTTTTAACTAATTGGAAAATTTTACGTACATTTAACGTACACAAGTGAGGTTAGCATCATTAATCAAATAATTGACATTTTTAACATCCAAAATGTTAACTTCAAATTTTTTTTTGTTTTTTACAAAGAAGTCAAAAAATATCAACCTATTTCCATCAAATTCGTTAAGTTTTTAACGGTTAACTTGCAATTTTAAAACGGTAAAATAAAAAATATAACTGAAATAAAAGATTTAACGTGAAAAATGTAGGTTTCAAATAATTGTTGGCTTCTTAAAATTCTTTACCATGCTTTTTATTGGAATTTTAAAAAGGATTTCAAAATAAAAAGTGTAGCAGCATGACATATTTTATTAGAAACTGTTGCTATTTATTTGTTTATTTGCTTGTTTATATTATTATTTATTTATTTATTCATAGGCTGACCGTCACAAAAAAGCATATGAGCAGTTTCATTCAGAGCCATTCATAAATAAAAAAAATGATTTAATAATGGGAGAGGTTATCCATTACAGAAATAAATAAAAGATAAATAAGAAAGAAACAGACGCGAACCCCCAGGCAATCAATCATCTCCTTTACACAGCACATGCAAGCTGTGCTATCTCATGTTAAAGATGCTACCATGGATTGAAAGAAATTTCAATTTTCCCAACTTTTCGTTACTTTTGTCACTGTTGATTAATGTAAGTTAAATTAGTTATAATAATCGAGTTAATAATTTTATTATTAAATTATTTGAAGTTATTAACGTGTATATAGACACACAGTCTAATTTCTCTCTATATTGATGGTGTATATAGACTAGACAGTCTAATGTGTCTATTGATTCACACCAGCAACATTCTGCAGTTGGGCTGAGACATCGATCATCGATGAGCAGTTGGGAAACCTTCCAGCCTAACCATTTAATATGCGCTTGTTATGTATTTTTGCACGCGTTTATGCGTCTGTGTATGCCTGGTCCATAGACCTAAACATATTTTTTAATGTTTATCATAACGCATGTATGTTTTTTATGTGCTTGTTTGAGTTATTTTTGTGTAATTTGTTCAAAATATTGTTTCTATTCTTTGTAAACATGATTCTTTTAAGAAAAAAATACATTCCCATAAATAGATTGTTCAAAAATGTTTAATTAAAACTAAAAAATGAGTGAACTTAAATGAAAATATGATACATTGGAAAATACAATAACAGTTAATGATCTATTGGTAATCTAATCATCATCAGTTCTTATTTTTACAATGATTCCACTACGAATCTCAGCTGGCACACCTTGGCGGCCAACCAACAGCGGGAACATGAAGAGGACGTGATCTCCGAATCTGACAGGAGCGAAACGACAATGAAATATCGTCAGCGTGGCATCTCACACCGCCGCTCGTCACTGCCCAACTAATAGCCATCATCAACTTCGGGTTAAGTTCCACGAAAAAAATCGTGCTACCTCAATTTTTTGCATTTTCCACAAATCA